ATATATATATATATATATATATATATATATATATATATATATATTATATATATATATATATATATATATATATATATATATATATATATATATATATATATGTAAAAAAAACATGTTTTGAAAATTTCAGATTAAAAACTAATATGGTGCTTAAAAAAATACTATTTAAGTAGTGGGTTATTTTGCATGAAATTTCACTCTACAAGCAAAAAGGTTATTTTTCATTGTGTTTCTTTTTTTTTTTTTCAATGTTTTTAATATCTAATACTTTTTGAACAAGTTGGTTTTATACTTAAATTATTGAAAAGGGATCCTTAAGTGCTGAGACAAGTTGTGTTAAAAATAAAGAATATGTTTAAAAAAACATTTAGGCTAAACTTAATTAAAACTAAAAATAAATGCATAATAATAAAAATAAAATCAAGATATCGTCTTCTTTTTTCATAATTTTATTTATTAGAGATATTTGCGCATTTCTAAAATGTTTAAAAATCATCTAAACATCTAAATATGTTGTGGTCAAGTTATCAAAAAATAAAATCATTTGCATGGTCAGCAATAGCGCTCGACCATATGCCACTCCTGACCAAGCCTGTAATATTATACACAAATTATCAATAACTATATAATAAACTATGCCTAGGGCCACCAAATATCTAGAATCGGGCATGCATGGTACTATACTTCATTTGAGGTCTTTCATCTGAAAGAATAGCGGTCAGTGTGCTGAAACATCTTTCAACTGCAGGGCAGAGGACACCAGGGGCCAGGGGAGTGCTTTGTTGCCACTTTTTTCTCAAGGATCTTCCTTTTTCTTTTTTAGTAATTGACCATTTTTTTATAATAAGGGAGTGTATAGCCCTCTTCCACTTTGAAAACCATGTCATTGTCCTTGAACTGCGCTGTTAGATGGCAATAAACAGAAGTCTAATAGCAGTTATCTTTGAATAATTAATATTATTATTATTAATGTTATTATTATTACTATTATTATTATTATTATTATTATTATAATTATTATTATTATTATTATTATTATTATTATTATTATTATTATTATTATTATTATTATTATTCTACAATAAAAGTTTGAAACTTCTATGAGCTGGCAATCTATTGAGACCCAGCTATTATTATAGTATATAGAACAACAAACAATTGAATTAATCCATTTGTCATAGTTATTTTTGAATTGATCAACTCTCTTTGAAGCAACAACAAAATCTGGTAGACTATTCCAATAAGGTACTACACAATTCCATAGAAAATTATGTCTGGCTGAATTCCTAGTGAACTCTCTGTGAATTTTAAATTTCACACTGCCAACTGGGCCATTGACTACATTAAAGTTCTTGGAAATTTTAAAATATTGTATCAGGTCACCCCTTATTCTGCATTCATATAAAGTTGTTGAACCCAACTTAGCCAGATATGATTTATAACTCAGGTTCCCTAACTGAGGCAGTAACTTAGTAGCACGGCTCTGTACCTATGCAAGTTGTTTAATGTCTTTTCTAAGGATTCCAAACTGATGCGCAGTACTCAACCAGAGGGCAAACATAAGATGTGTGGAGTTTGAGAATCATAGACACAATCTATTTTTTAAAGCTTCTCTTGGTATTTTGTACAGCTTGAATTATTTGGTCAGTCTATTTGAGCTTGGTGTTTACATAAACTCCTAGTGTTTGCTCAATACAGATATTCTCTAGTTGAATTCGATTTCCAACATTGTCCTCCATGTAAAGAGAGTCATTAGGATACAATGATCTGCCGTGAAATTTCAAAACTTTACATCTGCTGGTGCTATAATCCATACACCACAGTTTGGACCACTCACTTAAAGAATCTATGTCTGCCTGAACATGGACAAAATCAAAAACAGTTTTTAATTTAACAACTAGTTGACTATCATTAACAAACAATTTACAATAATTTCTGACAAGTTCTGGAATATCATTGATAAAAATAAGAAACAATAGTGGTCCAATTACAGAGCCTTGGGACACACTGCTCAACACCTCAAAACAAACATCACACAAAACACGCTGCTTCCTTTTGCTGAGAAAGTCTTTTAACTAAACTATTATTTTGGTACAATAACCATAACCAACCAATTTGAGTTGAAGCAAGTGGTGAGACACCCTATCAAATGTCTTCACAGAATCAGCAAAGCTGCACACCCATCACTAAGCGCTTTAGTAATAATATGATTTTAGTTTTACAAGTTATATGTATGTATATATGTGTATATATATATGTATATATATATATAATAAATATATATTATATATATATATATATATATATATAGTATATATTATATATATAATATATATATATATATATATATCAGGCTTGGTCGGGAAGCAGGAGCAATCGCTCTCAATTGCTGACCAGGTAAATAATATTTAGCTGCGAAAAGCTGGCCAGACCTTTTAGTCGTTTTGAGAACATTTTAAAAAACAAAACAAAAAAAGCGGAAAGAATAATTGGACCGATG